CCTCTCCAAGGTCAGTCTTGGCCAAGGCTCTGTCCAGGGGCAGTCTGGGCCAAGGCTCAGTGGTCACAGATGCAGTGGGGGTTGGTCTCAGGTGTGTGAAAGCTGCTGGGGGATCTACAGGGTTGTGGGGGTGGGGGTGGGGCATTGGATGTGCCACCCAGGAATAGGTCCTAGAAAGCTGAGCCCTCCAACTGGGAACCCAGATGCTCACCTCTCCTGGGGTAGTCTGGGCCAAGGCGCTAGTGGTCAGAGATATGGTGAAGAGGGCAGCAGGTATGTGAAGGCTGTTAGAGGTCTCTGGGGCTTGGTGCATGGGGGTAGGGCATGGGATGTTCCATGCAGGGCTAGGGCCTAAAAAGCTGAGCCCTCCAACCAGGAACCAGACGCTTACCTCTCTAGAGGCAGTCTGGGCTAAGGTTTCCTTGGTCACAGATGCAGTGGGTGATGGTAGCAGGTATGTGGAGGATGCTTGGGATCTCTGGAGCTTAGTGGGTAGAGTTGGGGTACAGAATGTTCCTTCCAGGTCTACAGAGCTCAATCCGTCAACGAAGAACCCAGATGTTTACCTTTTCAGGGGCAGTCTGGGCCAAGGCTCCAGTGGTCACAGATGCGGTGCAGGATGACAGCAGGTACCTGTAGGTTGCTAGGGATCTCTGGAGCTTGGTGTGTGGGGGTGGGGAATGGGATGTTCTCAGGGGCTTGCCTCTCCAGGGGCAGTCTGGTCAAAGCTCTGGTAGTCACAGATGCCAAAAGTGATCTTTTTATACAGAATAAATGAATTGTTCTATGAAGAAGTCTAAACTTCTAATACATATTTAGTAGTGAGTGGACATCAATTTGCCTACTAGAACAACACCTGTCTGTTTCTAGGATCTTCTCTGCTCTCAAGTATACGAAGAAGATCTGTGTTTTAATTCACTACAGATATGCAGAATGCCAACATTCTACTATTCATCTGTGTAGGACAGCCCTAGGCATTTCTGGAGATTCCAGTATCTCCAGAAAAATATCATTTTATCATATCTGGATGTTGGCTTTCTCATACAGCACTTCATGCATGTCCTCTCTAGGACACAATAAAATTGAATGTGATAATGGTCTTATTTATGCTAGGATTTGATTTTAAATTTTTATTAATATACCTAAAATCCCTTACCATTCATAGAAAAAAGTCATTAGGGAACACCATCAAAAAACTAATTGGAAAATTTTAATTACATAAAAGAGGTACACATACCTAAATTCCCAAATACTGTGCGATATTTAGTTATACTAAGTTTAATTTAACTTTAAAGAATAATTCCTGAAAATAGAAGGCCTCCCAGGGACATTAACCAAACACACCACAAGATACAATAATACCAGACATAAACTCTCCTATCAAGTCTGTGCAACCCAATAGGAGAAAAAGGGTGCCAAAAGCAGGCAAAAGGTCATAAAGCCAGGGTTGGAGAGATGGCTCAGAGGTTAAGAGCATGAGGGGAAGGACCTAATGCAGACCTCAAACCTTTTTATTCTATCTGTCTGTCTATCTATCTATCTATCTATCTATCTATCTATCTATCTATCATCTACCTACCTACCTACCTACCTACCTACCTACCTACCTATCTGCCTTTTGTGTGACTGTGACTCTCTGCATCCCTTCTCAACAGATTCTACATGAAGCCTCTCTTATGATGACAGGACTAGGTAGTGAAACATTTGGTTTGATGATGTCTAGTTTTTGTTTTTGTTTTTTTTTTTTAGTTCTTTTTATATTTGGATATTATCCTTGTGTCAGATGTGGAGTTGGTGAAATCTTTTCCCATTCTGCATGTAGGCTTCCTTTTTGTCACAATGACAGTGTCCTTTGCTTTACAGTATTTCTGTTTTGTGAGACATCATTTTTCCTTGTTGATCTTAGCGCCTGCCTGTTTGGTATTCTGTTCAGGAAGTTAACTCCTATGTCATCACATTCAAGGCTATTCACCCATTGTTCTCCCATTGGGTTCAGTGTATCTGGTTTCATGTTGAGATTTTTGATCCACTTGTACTTGAGTTTTTTGCAAGGTAGTAAATATGGATCAATTTTCATTTTTCTAATGCAGATATCAAGTTGAACAAGTATAATTTGTTGAAGATGCTTGCTTTTCCATTGTGTATTTTTGGTTTCCTATTAAAAAATCAGGTGTCCAGTCAGGCAGTGATGGCACACACCTTTAATCCCAGCACTCAGGAAGCAGAGATAGGCAGATCTCTGTGAGTTCAAGGCCAGCCTGGTTTACAAGTTAGTTCCAGGACAGGATCCAAAACTACAGAGAAACCCTGCCTCAAAAAAAAAAAAAAATCAGGTGTCTATAGATGTTTGGACTTATGTCTGATTCATCAATTCAATTCCATTGAATAACATATTTGTTTTAATGCCAATATCATATAGTTCTTATTACTATGGCTCTGTAGTGCAGCTTAAAAGTAGAAATGATGGTGATCCAGATGTCTAGTATTGTTCAGAATTATGTTAATTATTTTGGGTGTTTCTCTTTTACTATATAAACTTACATATTTTCCTTTCAAGGTATGTAAAGAATTGCTTTGGAATTTTGATGAGGATTGTAATGAATCTGTGACTTGTTTTGGGTAGGATGGCCAATGTTCTATGTTAATCCAAACCATCCATGTACATACATCTTCTGGTATCTTTTCAATTTCATTCTTAAGATATGTAAAGATTTTGTCAAAAAAGTCTTTCATTTACTCTGTGAGATTTACTCCAAAATATTTTGTCATTTGTGACATTTGAAAATGGTTCTGTCTCCTTAAGATCTTTCTCAGGACATTTGACATTCATGTATAGGAGGCTACTGAATGTTTTTAGTATCCAACTACTTGAAGGTGTTTATCAGCTGTAGGAGGGGAGATTTATCTTTGTGTATGTGCATCCTGATAATTTCCTTCATACGGCTCCATGATTTAAGTCAGAATTTATTCACTCTATATTTATACAGTGCTCTTGTCGCATGCTGGGAACAACACAAGACACTGAGCCTGTTTATCCCCAAAGACAGTACATAATCCTGGTGGTGGATGGTGGTCTGTTATGTCTTACCAAAGCACATTGCACATGATGTGGAAATACTGTGATTTGTAAATCCGATATTGCAGAGGTGAGTTTAGTCTAACAGTTTTCTTTTAGTTCATAAAGAATTGTTTGGTGTAATAATACCAATGTAACTTTTTAATCCAGCTAAATAGTTTTGTTTGGGTTATAAATTTGGGTAAAATAGTTTGGTTTGGGTCATAAGCAGGAAACTAAGTTTATTTGCATGAAAGGAAACAATATCAGTATAATTTATATGATGATTTCTTAAACTCTGTATACACATAAAGCATTCTCCAGTAGATATTAAGTCTTAATACAGTTCATAGTCCTTCTCATTTCAGCACAGAAGGTGATATTATATATATCAGTTAGTACATGCCAAGAGATGACACTGATTGTCATATGCACGTTTGGCCAAGTGAACAAATGCACTAAAAGATGGGAAACAAAGTTAGCATTTCCACAATGTGCAATTTGTGATTGGTTGATTTTCTTTAAGATTATAATTCAGTTATTTTCAGAAAAGAAAAAAAAATCATCTTTTTCCTTTATATATTGTATAAATAAAAGTACACTTATTTTTTGAAATGAAAATACCCAATTCTTTATTAGAAGTACTTGCTCTTTATCAAAAATGTAAGTAATTATTCAAGTAGCTTTTTACCTATGTTACTACATGAAAAGAATTGCTTAGAAATACATGTTACTTTTTTAAACCTACTACATCTTAGGTAGGATTATCAAAAGGGAATAGAACAAATACTTTAAGTACATTGAACAGATATTTATTCTGTTAAATTATTTTTTTCTTAAAGCATTAAAAACATACTTTTAAAATTATCACATTTAGTAAGTTCTCTAGAACATTCTAGAAGTGAATCAAAGGGAAGCCCATAAATATATGATCCTTCAGTCTTAGTAGACTAACCATAAGTTCTCAAGTGAAGGTGCAATTACTAATGAATCCATTTAGTGAATAGATGAAATATGAAACAAGAATATCACAAAACTCTGTTATTCCTGTTCTCACCAATGATCACAGTTGGAAAGGGATCAATGGCATGAATTGGGATGTAAGTATCTGTAAATATTCAGGATATCTAGGCAGTTTAGTCACTATCTGCTGTGTCCTGCAGAATGTCTCGCAGACTCTTTCATGAATCAGGAAAGCTGAAAGACCATCTCACCTTTAGGCAAGTTCAGCAGTCCTCTCTCTGTGCGTTCTTTGTGTCTAGTCTATGCATCAGTCCACGCAAAAGCAGTTTCTTGCCCAAATGGCTAACCAACTCCATAAGGAGCCTCTTCAATGCCCATCTTCCTCTTGAAGTAGATTGATGCAGCCAGGAGCAGACGTGTCTCATTGTCATGAAAAGCCCTAAGTTATTAAGTCATTAAATGCCATATTCTGTAGTCTTTGAAAGATATGAAGAATGCCTATCTGAAATTTATCTATGCACATCTAGAAAATCTAACATGACTACAAGCTTGACTATTATCAATGATTATCCATTAACAACTTACATTTCCCAATTATACATTACATTTTTATTTTTATTTTTTTAAAATTATTTATTTTATTTTATTTTATTTATTATGTATACAATATTCTGTCAGTGTGTATGCCTACAGGCCAGAAGAGGGCACCAGACCCCATTACATATGGTTGTGAGCCACCATGTGGTTGCTGGGAATTGAACTCAGGACCTTTGGAAGAGCAGGCAATGCTCCTAACCTCTGAGCCATCTCTCCAGCCCCTAAATTACATTTTTAAATGAGCCACACAATCACAATGCCTTAATCAAGATCAGAAATACATATAACAAAATTGACCATAAAATCCATGCCAATGCAAATTATTCATATCTATACCATATCCCCTTTAAATGTAAAAGAACATTTATAAACAATATTTGGGAATATGGGTGCAGTTATTTCTCTCCAAACTTCTTCCTGATTTCAGTGGAATCACCGGGAATTTCTCTCAATTTAGTTTGATGTTGGCTGTTGGCTTGCTGTATATTGCCTTTATTATGTTATGGTATGTTTCTTGTATACCTGCTCTCTTCAAAACCTATTTATCCTATTTGTGGCTATTGTGAAGGGTGAATCTTCTCTGATTTCTTTCTCAGCTCATTTATCATCTGTGTACAGGAGGACTACTGATTTTTTTGAGTTAATCTTATATCCTGATACATTACTAAAAGTGGAAAACTTCCTTTCTAAACTATCTTATGATACATAGAGACATAGCTATTCCTTCACTGAAGGAGCCTCTGTTTACAGAAAAAGGAAACATCAAAGAAAACCACAATTGAACACAGCTCAGATATCAAAAGAGCATGAAAGCTCATTGGCAAAACAAATATTTACATAACAGCTCTTCATCTATAGGTCAAGGAACTCCACCAAAGGGGTTGGGCAAGGATAATATAACTGTCAAAATATGAGGAATTTGACTGAAACATTGCCATCTAAAATGACACATTAATAGGAAAGAGAAAATTTTTCACATTTTCCTGCCACCAACACAAAGAATTATACCTACTGAATGCCAGAAGAAAATTACTGACACTTGAGGATAAACACTCTTAATGTTTCTCAAATAGAACAAAGTAGTCAGATTAAAATCATGTACACAAAAATAAAGTCACAGTCATGTCAGCATTAAAAATTAACAATAAAAGAAAAATATCATCTACTTGAGTGTGTAAGGCTTAAGTAATAGTATCTGATTGAGGACCAAAAGGAAAACAAGAGCGGGATAGTGATGTAATTTTATTTTAATTGAAACAAATCAAAATAAGAAAAAATAAAGTTAAAAAATACAGATTTTTTAGTAAGGGTTACTACTGAAACCACAAAACAGAATTTACAATTTAAAATAGAATTAACAGCTGCTTTCAAGAAACTCAAAGATGTTTCTATTGGAGGTTATCTATGCAAGTTTGTTGAGATGTTTACAACTCCCATATTGGTGATACAAAAAAAAAAAAAAAAGTTTCCCCTAAAGGTTTCAGTGTCAGTCGAAAAAAATTCCTGCTCACTTAAGTGTGATGTATTCATTTATTGCTTGTTTCTTAATTGTATTGCATCGACTTTTATGTCTACAGATCTGTCTGTCTTAGTATTTGTATGTGAGTCTTCTATTATTTTTGTCCTGTTTATGCTGATTTTATTTCTACAACTGAGTTGGGTACTGACAAACATTCTTTCATATTCTTGGATAGTTCCTAGATGTACATATACATAGAATGTTGTCAAGATTGCATGTTATAGCTTTAAAATTTGACTTGTAGGTATTTCTTCCATAATCAACATTGTGAAGAAAGGTAAGAGATGAGGTTTAGTATCAATTTTCAGATGAGTCTAAACTTTTATCATTAGGTTTGAACAACTGCTGCACATTTCTAGGAGTTCTCCAGTGTGGAGTTGACAAGGAACCGTGAACAAATTATTTAACACATGATAGATAATTAAAAACTTTCTCTCTAATACCAATTTTCTTATGTGTTTCAACTTCTGAAGAACTATTAGTGAGGTCAGCTCACGTTGCATGACAGACCATTCCTGGGAGGATGCAACACACACATTCATTTAATCTCCCCAAATGGGGACTGGCAACAGAATAAAAAATTAATGACACTAAATTCCATCTTAATGAATCTATAAGGCTTATATGTGTTACTTTCAGGATTATGGTAAATGTGCTGCTTAAAGGAGGAAATCAGACTAGAAAGCAGTGGCCACTAGGAAGCTCCACCCATTATAAGATACAGCCTAAGAACTCTAGATACCCAGAACACACTGCACATAGCCTGTACAGGCAATCTACAGGGTGGAGGGCATCCATCCATTCCTGATGGGTTAGTTCTTCAAAGCCAGTTATAAGTATCATTACTGGTCTCTGTTTTCTGTCAGGTTCCTATATTCCTGAAATGATTTAGAAATACTTCTTTCCTGATTAATGAGTTTCTATTCAGGATGTACTGATTCAGCATCCAAGGAACTAGTGTACCAAAGCACATTCAAAGGCATCTTGATTTTCATTGTTAAGTAAATTTGAGGTTGATACAGTAAAATATCTTAACGAAAATTTCCTACATTGTCACATTATCAGAATTTTTGCTTAGGATAAACTGCCAATAACATTTCTACACTACTTGAAGTCTTTCAGAAAGTTCAGATGTCATAAAGTTTCTCTTGTATGGATTTGATGTGCAGTGATCTCTGAGAACAAACTTTTGGATTAAGCCATATGTCTCATTATTTACTAAGTAAACTTTTTTCTCCAGTATGAATTTTTTCAAGTATTCTTACAAGTGAAATGCAGATACTCAGCCAGATTCATTACATTAACATTTTTTCTCTCCTTTATGTATTCTCTGATGTTTTATAAAATTTAAACACTCGGTAAAGCATATTTCACATTCTCTGCATTTCTAAGGTTTCTCTCCTGTGTGGATTCTCTGATGTCTTCTAAGATGAGAAGAACGTGTGAAGGCTTTCGCACATTCGCTGCAGTGGTAAGGTTTCTCTCCTGCATGAATTCTCTGATGCTGTGTAAGATTTGAACTCTGTGTGAAGGATTTGTCACATTCACTACATTTGTAAGGTTTGTGTCCCATATGAATTCTCTGATGCACTCCAAAGTTAGAGGCACATTTAAAGGATTTGTCACATTCACTACATTTGTAAGGCTGATGATCTGTATGAATTCTCTGATGATTTCTAAGATTAGATATGTTCGAAAAGGATTTGTCACATTCACTACATTTGTAAGGTCTCTCCCCCGTGTGAGCTCTCTGATGTACTTTAAGAAAACAGGCATGTGTAAAGGATTTATCACAATCATTGCATTTGAAAGCTTTCTCTCCTCTGTGAATTAACTGATGTTGTCTAAGATGTGAGACACATGTAAAGGATTTCTCACAAACACTACATTTGCAAAGTTCCTTCCTTGTATGAATGATCTGATGTTTCCTAAGATTTGAAGCCTGTGTAAAGGATTTCTGACATTCACTACATTTGTAAGGTGTCTCTCCTGTATGGCTTCTCTGATGTAATTTAAAATGAGAAGCAAACATAAAGGATTTCTCACACTCGCTGCACTTGTAGAGTCTCTCTCCTGTGTGCATTCTCTCATGCACTTGGAGATGATATGCACATGTAAAAGACTTCCCACATGCATTACATTTGTAAGTTTTTTGTTTCATACATATTCTCTGATGTGCCCCAAGTTTGTTTTTCTGAATAAAACATTTTCCACATTCACTACATTTGTAAGGTCCCTCTCTACGATGGATTTTATAATGGTTTTCAACCTGATACAATGTGCTAAGGTACTTACCACATTCTTTACATTGATAGGACTTCTTTCCAGAGTGAGAGCTATCATGTTTGCTGAAACTCAAATACGACGTGAAACATTTTCCACACTTTTTGCATTGGTATGTTTTCTCTGCACTAGAGATTGGTTTCAGCATCGGTATATGTTTAGAATCAAATGATTTACCATAGTCTGTAATTTTGCGTTGTTCCTCTCTAGTGCGAATTCTTTGACTAATGATGGAACACACATTTAACCATTTCTTACAGTCTTTATACTTGAGCAGTTCTTCACCATTGTTCCCACTTTCATCATTCTTGAGGACTGTAGAATCAGTAGAGGCATCCCTCTGGTTACGACATCCATACTTGTTGCAGTTCCTTGTAAGGTCACTTGTGTTATAAGGTGTACATTGGACAGTTTTAGAGGTCGTTTTCCCAATCTTATTCCATTTATGTGACCTCTCTTGGATATTCACAGGGTGATAGCCAGTATGCTGTGATCCTTCACTCAAGACTTTGACACGTTCACCACATTGATGTTTTTCTGGAAAATGAGCGCAAATAAAACTCATAGGGATGGAGGCATGTTGTTTACACATTGAAGAACTGGTGTCTCCTTCAGTTCTCTAGGACAAGTAACCCTGGAATTCTTAGAAACAGAGCTCTCAGCATAGGTATTTGCATTTTACCATGATTACATGAAACCTCAGAAGAACCATTCTAACCCATCAAACTGTAAAGACTGTTAGTATTCTTCTCATTCCTATATAAAATGTAAATCTTAAAGAAGTTGGGACAAATAAGTAAAGAATGTGCTATGTAACCCAGGCTGGTCTGAAACTCATGACATCCTCTTGCCTCTGCCTCCATATTGCTAGGATTAAAATATGCTGTCCTGTGCTAACATGACTTATTATACAGATGAAAACTCAAAAATAGATATATGAATAAGAGCCACAGAGTCCTCACCAGAAATATTTTTCTCTGTTTTATAAAACTCAGAAATAAATGGAATTTATTTGATATTAATATTAATATATTCCAATCACTACATATAATATAATGCACTTTCTTGCCTTGAATATCCAACTTTTTTTGAACTCTGAAGTTTTCATTGACTAATAGAAGACTCGAGAAATGACTCACTATATAGTATTCATTTCTCTTTCAAAGAACAAAGAATATAACAAAGGAAAAACACTGAAAAAGTTACATTTGATGGCATAAATTCCCCCATTTCTGATAGTCTCCATATTGTTCAGAGAATTTGCATACAAAGTATTTAAATAGTAAGGATGAGTGAGATATTCCACAAGAAAAGACTTCTTACCTACAAAAACCAGATTGTTATAATTCTCCATCATCACATCAATGCAAAGGGCCCTCCAGGAGGAATCCAGACATTCCCATTCCTCCTGGGAAAAGTCCACAGTCACATCCCTGAATGTCAACAGACCCTGTAATGGAAAATTATCCATTGACCATGTGCTGCTAGAGAAAATGCTTTCATGAGAAAAAAAACTTCAGTAATTATAGATATATTGTGATACAAATGACCCATGCCAATTATTCCCAACATATTTTCCATAGGTGGTAAAAATGGTCCAGCAGATAAGATTTGCTTTCCTAGAGATAAACAATTCACATTCCAGTATAGACATGACATAACAGAACTGATACTGATTGAAGTTTCATTTAATTGGGATGATTTGGAAGAAAACGGCCCCCATAAGGAATTACACTATTAGGATATCTGATTTTGCTAGTGTGTATGTGGCTTTGTATGATGATGATGTCACTGTGGGGGTGGACTTTGGGGTCTCCGATGCTCCAGCTATGCTCTGAATGACTGGGGTCACTTCCTGATGCTCGTGGATCAAGATGGAGAACTCTAAGCTGCTTTTCCCTTTTCCAGCATCACGATGACCTGCATGCCATGTGGACCACTTTCCTGCCATGATGTTTATGTAAGAAACTCTGAGACTATAAACCAGCCTCAGTTAGTTTTCCTTTCTAAAAGTTGCTGTGTTCCTGGTGTCTCTTCACAGCAACTAAAACTCTAAGACAGGATACATTTCTCTCCTAATCTCAGCATGCAGGAGGCACACAGCCCTAATGCATACATTCAGTAAAACAGACACACAAAGTCTCTATTTATGTAGTTTCAATGATGTGCATGAACAGATTTACAATCCGTTTTTACTCCTGAAGTTTCTATAAATGGTTACAATAATCACCAGCTTGTTCACTGTATCGTTCCCCTTCATTCACTCTACTCTACCATTGGTAGACAATACATTTTCACCCTCCCCCCACTGCAAGAGGCATAAGCAGTTTTGAAAGCTACAAAGGAACTTTTCAAACTAGGTAGACCTACAGGTAGAAGAGTGTTCCCAGTTGACAGCACATATAGTTACAGTATCATGCAGGATAATATTCTTAATATTTACTTCTTATAGGGTCTGAGTTCTCATAAGCAGCTCACCAGCCAAACTGGATCAATCCATTCTACATTTTGTATTGCTCTATTTCCTCTATGGACATACCAGGTTTCCCCATTATTTATTCTGTTTTCTATGTCTATAAAAATGGAATGGCAGAATAGTCTCACCACCCTTAATCTTTTAGGGAATAATAACATAACATTGAGGTCTAGATCCAGGGATATACCTTTATGAAGTAGATGTTGATATCAACTAGGACCACAGTATCTCATAGCAGAGAGACAAGTTACAATGAGCAAATCTCTACTCCCAAACACTGCAACTGTTCTCTTTGCTCAAATGTGAACACTGGATAAATCTCTACAGATAGATCTCACCTAAGACTATTCTAACATACTTAGTTGTGATGTTGAGTTGCATGCTCAATGACCCACCCTTTGTAGAACAAAGAGTTTGAATGTGGGAGGGAGAAGTATTGATGAACTAAAATCAGAGTTTAGGGGTTTTAATGGTAACTCTCCTTAAACAACACATAGAATCAAATATTCTAATGTCATTTTATGAGAATCGTGAGATAAATACAAAAATCAGCACATGAGGTTAGTGTTATCTGAATTTCTCTAACAGTCAACATAGACAGTTACAAAACAATCCCGCAAAATCAAGATGTGGTTTCATTACTTAATGTTCATATATGTAATGTACATAATGACCTATGTGACAATGCATTAAAATGTAGTAAAATCTATGGTCAAACCGAATATATGAAGCTTTGTGAGAATAATACAAACTCTTCATTGACTTTCAATATATTATTGCTCATAAAATTTGCTTAATTAAACTTTTGAATCATGTAATTCCATTTTCTTTTTTTTTTGCTTAGTATCTGAACTTAAGAATCTACAAGGATTTTAGGCTACACAGGTGAGCATCATTTATGACTCTCTCATTTAAGACACTAGATGGTGCAGGCTGTATAAGTTATACAACTTTCACAAATCTTCACCATAAGAATAAACCTGGGGGCTGGTGAGATGGCTCAGTGGTAAAACACACAATCTTCTCATGCAGAGAAACCCAGACTGGTTCTCTCTATATACAGGCCAAGTGACAAATGTGCCTGATTCCAGTGCTGAAGGTTTGATGCAAACCCAATAGAGAGGGGGGAGACAGTGACTACACAAGGGTATCCTGTTGGAAAAAAATGAAGAAAATACAAAGAGAATACAAGTCTCTGGGAAATTTACTTTGGAGCATTGAAATAAAAATATTAGTAGTTGAGACAAAAAAAGATTTTACGAGTCAAAAAAGAACAACAATAACAAAAAACATACAGGCACATCCTCATTGTGGGATAGCGAATGACAAAGAGAAAAACTAACATCCTGCTACCTACATCTCCTCACAGAAATTTCAGTTTCATTGCAAAAAGCCACGTACTTCTTCCATTCTATGAACTCTGAATGGTGCTGACGTAATATTTAGGATTCAAGAGAGCGAGTCTCTTCTAATTCTAATTTTCATATATTTATTAGTAATACCAGCAAAACGTTACATGAATTTGTGTGATCACTTCCAAAAGGCTATTTCTGGAAGCCTGACCATCTCTGAATTAAAAACCATATAAGAAATGAAAGCTTCCCTCTTCAATAATATACAAAAAAAGAAGTGTATCCCCTGGAGGATCTGGGCATCAATCTATTTCTTGGATCAGCTTATACAATAAACTTTTTTTTTTTTTAACAATTACAGGTTTCAAGTCAATAAAAACTATATCTGGAGAATTAAGTAAGAAAAAGAAAGGGAAAAATTAGATGTCATTACCTAAGGCAGAGAATTAAAGGCACACAAGATTTCAATATAAAAACAGTTTTCAAAGTAATATGGATAGGCCACTGACCTGAGACACATTTACCTGAGATACAGCCATTCTCTCTGAAAACTCTTCTCTGTATTTCTGCTGCAGGATTAAAGACCAGAATTCTTGTTGATAACTTGCATCAACCTAGAATTAATATGAATGGTATGAAGAAAGTCAAATCACAAAAAGGAAAAGGAACTAGGACATTTCACACAAGAAGCAGTGAAAAGGGGGAGCTGGAGAACCAAACCACAAATCATTACTTCCAAATAGAGGGAAGACAAATATTGCTAATAATGTAACCAAGCACACTCTTTATAGGGGGGAACTTGGGGAAACGGGATGATTGGGATAAAGGAAGGTTGGATAGGGGAGCAGGGAAGCACATATCTTAATTAAGGGAGCCATCTTAGGGTTGGCAAGAGACTTGGACCTAGAGGGGCTCCCAGGTGCCCAGGGCGATGTCCCCAGTTAGTTCCTGGGGCAGCTGAGGACAGGAAACCTGAAATGACCCTATCCTATAGCCATACTGATGAATATCTTGCATATCACCATAGAACCTTCATCTGGAGATGGATGGAGATAGAGACAGAGACCCACACTGGAGCACCGGACTGAGCTCCCAATGTCCCAATGAGGATCAGAAGGAGGGAGAATATGAGCAAAGAAGTCAGGACCACAAGGGGTGCACCCACCCACGGAGACAGTGGGGCGGATCTATTGGGAGCTCACCAAGGCCAGCTGGACTGTGACTGAAAAAGCATGGAATAAAACCAGACTCTCTGAATATGGTGGACAATGAGGGCTGCTGAGAAGCCAAGGACAATGCCACTGAGTTTTGATCCTACTTCATGTTCTGGCTTTGTGGGAGCCTAGCCAGTTTGGATGTTCACCTTCCTAGACCAGGATGGGGGAAGGACTTTGGACTTTCCACAGGGCAGGGAACCCTGACTGCTCTTCAGACTGGAGAGGGAGGGGAAGAGGAGTGGGGGGAGGGGGAGGAGAGTGGGAGGAGGGGGAGGGAAAAGGGAGAAGGGGAGGGAAATGCGAGGCGGGGAGGAGGCGTAAATTTTTTTTCAATTAAAAAAATTATATTACAAAAAAAAGAAACCTAAGAATAATATACATATCAATTAGAGCCCAGTGATGATGAAAATCTCAGAGAAAATACAAATGTCATAAGACACATTTCAGCTACAGTTGTGACAAACTACTGAAGAATATTTGAAGAAATAGAACGCAGTCTATAATAATAAAGGACTCCTGTGTCGCAGCTGGTCCATCAGTGCAGATAAGAGGCAAAGAAACATTAGAAGGAACAACATGAGTTGAGGAAGGTGCACGTACACTCAGTCTTATTTCATCCAGAGTTGTAGGAGTGGCATAAAGAAAATGTGGGGAGAGGGAGACTAGTAAGACCAAATGACATTAAACTCCACTGTAATGAACGTGAGATCACAGAAAGCACTTACAACTGTCACTCAAAATCTGCCAGAGCTGAGATGTGCTTTAAGTGATATTGAAAACTACAAAACACATAAAATCTCTATTATATTTCCTAAAGACAATTCAAAAATAATTTTGAAAATTAGCTCATTTGTATTGCTTCAAGAAGATCTAGGAATACACCTAAGAAAATTTCTAAGAAATCATTTACAACCAAAAGAAAAAAATAAAAATAATAGCAAACAAGTTCCATCACTTTATCATCTGCTTTGTGTATATGACTAACAGCAATGGACAGAATCCATGCAATCCTTATCAGTTAAAACTGAATTCTTCCTAATAATAATATGAAAGAGGGAAAACCATGAAGTTCAAAATTAATCCTGAGAATGTGTGTTCCTGGTTGTATCACAGGACCTGACCTCAAATCGTACTACAGAGCCTCAGAGGCAGACAGATCTTAGTCCTGTGCATGAGGAAATATGTAGAAAGTTGAACAGAACTGAGAGTCCAGCAATTAAAAACAAACTCCAGAGGCCCATTTAGAAAAATGTGTCAAAGAAAACCCATGAAAGGAGAGACTGTTGAACATTCTGTGTTGCAAAAATAGTTGACTATGTGAAGAAGAAAAACATGACTAAATGCCTATTGATTCGAAAGTAAGCAGACACTGTGTCCTAGTTAAACTTTCTACTGTGTGATGAAACACCATGACCAAAAAGAAAGTTGGGGAGGAAAAGGATTATTTTGCCTATCCTACCCATTGCTGTTTCTCGCTGAAGGAAGTCAGGGCAGGAGCTCTAATGGAAGGAACTGAAGGAGCTGATGCAGAGGCTCTGGAGGTTGTGGATGGCTGGCTTGCTTCCCATGGATTGCTAAGTCTACCACCTTATAGAACCCAGGACCATCAGCTGAGTAATGCCACCACCCACCATGGGCTGGACACTGGCCCCATTGATCATTAGTTGAGAAAATGCATTACATCTGGATGTCATGGAGACATGTCCTCAGCTGAGGCTCTTTACTCTTGAATTACCCTAGCTTGGGTCAAACTGACATAAAAGGCCAGCCAGTACAACAGATAGATAGATCCCTTTCCAACTTGGCAAAAATACATCACTCTTAAGCCACAACCTTTACTTTATTATTCATCCCAAAGATCTCATAAATAACATAATAACTTTAAAGTCGTTTACAAACTCAAATATTAAAAGTTCAGTCTCTCTTAAGTAGCCAAACTCCTTTAAAATCCAAAGTCTTTTCAACTGAAATCCCTCTTGAGCCTGGGCTCCAGTAAAATACTTCCTTACTTCAAGAGGGGAAAATCAGGACATAGTTACAATCAAGTCAAAGCAAAATCCAATTTCAACATCACCCTACTGCTGCCGCTGTTCTTGGTGGTCATCCCATGCTACTGACATCCTTATAATGCTGTGGTCTCCTGCTGCAGCTGGGCTGCACTTTCACCAATCGCCTTTCATAGTCTCTCTTCATGGCGCCAAGCTTCTACTATTTTGCACGACTCCTTCAATCCTGATTGTTGAAACACCACTGACTGCCTCTTCACCAGTGACCTCTCCTGTCTATCACAGTGGCAAGCCTCATCTACTCCCATGGCCACTTTAGAATACAGCTTTACTATGTTCTCAGAAAACACTTCCTAGAATATTTCACTTCACTTTGGAATACAGCTTTACTATGTTCTCAGGAAACACTTCCTAGAATATTTCACTTCACTGATGCTGGTCATAATTACCTCGAATTTCTTAACATCAGCTGACCAGCATCAAGCATAATAGCAAAGCAAAGTGTTCCTTTAGTAGTTCTGGTATCTTGTTAACCATAGCTAACTCTCCAGACCCAGCTAGCCAAAACCACAGAATCTCAATTTAAAATAACAAATGACCCAAACAGAGTCTTTAAGCTTTAACTGAAACAGCATAAGCCAGAACTCCATTATCTGCACTGCTGACAGCACTAAACTCTTCCAGCATCCTACAGAATATCCCACCACACTCCTCACACTCAATGGCTCTTCTAATTCAGAGTTCCTTGCACACTTCTCCCCCAAATATAAACAGCTTTGTCACAGCAATACCCAACTTTACTAGAACAAATTTGTCTTAGAGTGTTTATTGCTGCAAGACACCATCATGACCATAAAGCAAGTTGCAGAGAAACAAGGGAACCAGGGTGGGGACTGAACCAGCTACCTAGGACAGAGCAGGATTGAGCCAGCGACCAGATCCAGAGTCAATGATCTCCACCCGAACAGGTACAGGAGAGTAACCGCTGAGTGAGTGAGCCAGAGCCAGAGACTGCTGGAATCTGGGACCTTCAAGGGAGTAGACCGAAGCCAACACCCCAGTGGGTCTGGATGAGAGTTTAGGACTTCCCAGGAACTAGGCCTGAGCCAGGACCTCTGTCAGCCTGGGTGTGATTGAACCTGGGTCCTCTGAGGGAAAAGGCAGGAATCAGAGATATCTCTGCGGGGCCAGGTGCCAGTCTGGGAACTCAGAGAGAGTAGGTCTGAGCCAGGTCCTCTGTGGGTTTGGGCATTGGTCTGGGACATCAAAGGGAATAGGGAGGAACCTGGAACCCCTGCGTGAGTCTGGGACCTCTGAGGAAGTAAGCAGGTCCTCAGTGGGTTGGGGCCCACCTGAGCCTGGGACCTCCAAGGCATAGATTGGAACCAGAAACCTTTCCAGGTCCAACTCCAACCCAGGGACTTCTGCAGGAGGGAATCCAGACCAGGATTTACAGATACAGGTCAAAGCCAGTAACCTAGGCCAAAGTTGCCCTGAGGCAAGAAACTCTACCAGGGCTACAAATTCCACAGAAGTGGGACTGGATGAGAGCCTAAGACAGAAAGGCCCTAAGGAAACAAGCTCCACCAGGAGCAGAAGCCAGGAGCAAATCAAGTCCTGGGAGCCAACCCAGATCTGGAATACTGGTGGATTAGGACTAAGCCAGTGACCAGATCCAGAATCAGCAATCTCCACCAGAACAGGTCCAACTCCCAGCCAGGGACTTCTGCAGGAGGAGATCCAGACCAGGATTTACAGAAACAGATCAAAGCCAGCAACCTAGGCCAAAGAAGGCCTTGAGACAAAAAAAAAAAAAAAAAAAAAAAAAAAAAAAAAAAAAAAAAACCCTCCAAGGGAGCAGAGCAAAGCACAGGAGCACTGAGCTATCTGCAGGAACAGGAGTAACCAACAGGGTGACTAGAACTGTGATACTGACTATACCACGAGGAACAACCATCTGAGCTTTGGATTCACAGGCACCTAGAAGATTATTGAAGAGAATCTCACATAGCCCCAACCACACTTATAAGAGGAAAAGATGAGCAGAAAAGGTAAGAACACATGCTACACCACAAAGAGCAACATAACACCAGTAAAACCTAAAGACCCTACAACAGCAAGACCTGAACAACCAAATATGGATGACCCAGAAGAAAATGATCTAAAAAGTAACTTCAAGAGAATGTTTGAAGTTCTTAAAGATGAAATGAAAAAATGCCTTAAAAAATGGAGGAAAAGAGAAACAAAAAATTGGAAGATATCAGCAAATCACATAAAGAAAACCAAGGAAAATAAGTCAAGCATATAAAAGAAACTATCCAGGACTTGAAAAATGAAATAGACAGAATAAAGAAAACACAAGTCGAAGAAATTATAGAAACAGAAACCATG